CCCCCCCCCCAGTGAAATCAGCACCAGAGTGACGATAATGAATATCGTCTCTATTTTAATTAAAAGTGTTAAACAATACCAAACCGTATCAAATTAGGGGTTATATCGGGGTGGTGGATCTTGAATGTGAGTTCGAGTCTCCTGCTTTAGATCATTATCAATTTCAAATGGTCCTTCAGAAAAAAAAAATCCATTTTATGCTGTCCTCACATTTATAAATCACCATGCATTTGGTGTCAACAGAAAGCTTAAATTCAAATAGCCTAGGCCCCTACCTATTCAACGTAGGAACCATCAAGTTCAAGACATTGATTTCTCCATTTGATGTACCCAGCGGCCAAAGACAGTGGTCAGTGATCGTTTGTCCAAGGTCCCGAGAGCTTTTCTCATAGCCTCTTGAATCTGGTCCTTATCCTCAAATCGCCGACCACGCAGCATTTCTTTCACCTTTGGGAAGAAGTGGAAGTTGCATGGGGCGAGATCCGGCGAATAGGGCGGGTGTTCGAATAATTCCCACGAGTATCCCTCAAGAATCTCGTCCCCAACTCTGGACTTGTGAACAGGCGCGTTGTCATGATGCAGTAAGACGCCTTCTTCAAGCAAAGCGGGTCTTTTTCTGGATCGCAGGTCTCAGATTGTCTTTGAGGACGAACCTGTAGTAGTCACCATTGACAGTTACGGCAGGTGTGACCTACCAGTACCAGCTCAGTATGATGCCATTCATGTCGAAAAACCCCCCCAATGTGCCTCACCTTTCTCTCCCCGTGTTTTCTGTAGGCGCTTCATCTTTCATGTCAGACCCCCCCCCCGCCAACCTTCAACCTCCCTGATCTATTTCCTTACTGCTGATGGGGTATTATTCCCTATTGCTGTTTATAGACACAGATCACCATAGGGTTCAACTGCAGACTTGCTTAGAAGAGTTGAAAATTTGAATACAACTCGAACATAGTAGCATGAGAAGCTTGCACCAATGTTTTGCTCAGCCATTTTCCTCGAATTTGCCTTGCATTAAGTGCACAAGAACCCATACTTGCCACGCCACATCTTTATGACACGTTCATCAATGTACTTGCAAGTTGGCATTGAGATTTTTTAGACATGTTGTCATGACGTCACAAAATTTAGTGGCTGTTGGTTGTGTAAAATTGGTTTTTATGGAGGATGGAAACTTTATTCTGAGACAGACCTCGTAAATACCCTTTTCTAATCTTGTTTACTAATGTACCTCTGTATGTACCTCTGAATAATGTAGTCTGAATTATCTTATCA